ATATTTTTAACTTATGTTTTTTGAGTAAATGTTAAAAAACCTTTCTTTAATGAGAATAATTATACTTCATCCGGTTCAATGTAATTGACCCGCTTCGAAATTTTTTTTTATTTAACATACTCTTAATTTAAGAAATATTTAATATTCAATCTTTTAATTTGCCATCCATTAAATATGATTGAAATCATTGAATATTTATTTGTTTTCTTCCAATTCAAGACACCCTATATTTTTTTATGAGAAAAATTGTGCTTCATCTGTTTCATACTAATTGACGCTTTGCAAAGGGTTTTTTTTGTTTTTGTTTTTGTTTTTTTTTCCTTGCATTTAACGGTTTTATAATTCACTGCATATTTAATGTTCAAACTTCGATCTTTCAAGATTATCCCCCATTAAATATGATTGAAAACTTAATTGTCTTCTTCTTCCAATTCAAACACATACAAAAAGACAAAGTATAGCAATGCCATATATTTCAAGGCTGGGACCCACCTACATTAAAGCAGCCTCATTTTTTATAAATGGGAAGCTAACTGTAACTATTATGATGTATTTTTCTTTCTCTACGCGTGGCTAGCCTGCGCGGTGAACAATCATGGCAAAGACAGTTCAAGCCACCGACACACGAAGGCAATTACCGCACATGGTGTAATTACTGATATAACGCCATTAACGGAGGGTTTAGTCTACCCACATCTGCCACATGCGATTTTTTTTTTATTTTAATTACATGACGAAAGATAATAATAATTTTTTTATCTCACTTTACTCTATAATTTATATTTAAAAATTTTTGTTTTTAATTAAAAAAATAATTATTAAATTATTTAAATAATTAACCTCACATATCATCTTTAAACAGTTATTTTAGGTAATTTAAATGGCAGCAGGATTCATGCCACGACAGATGTGTCTAGGATCCTCGTTCTTCTTCTTCCTCCTCTCTCTCTTTTCCTTTTTAATGTTTTTTTAATTTTTTAATTATTTATGATTAAGATATTATTAAATTAATTTTTACATATTTTGAAATTAATTTTTTTAATTAATTTTAAGATACATTCCTTATATCAATTTAATATGTTTTAAAAAATTAATTTTTTGGAAAACTTTTATGGATATGTAGTAATAGATTAGATGTTCTTGTTAATTTTACAATCTCTCTTGTCGAATAGGACTTAATCTGTTGATCATTTAAAAGAGGGCACAATTTGATAAGTTGCCTTTTTCAATTTCTTTTTTATAAATTGTCTATTATTATCGATATTTTTATTTTAATCTAATATCTTTATTTTCATACAAAATCTTCTATTAAATTTTTAAAAGGTTTTAAAGATACATGTTAAAAATATTTTTTAAACATTAATTAATATTAAAAAAAATAAATTTTGATTTTAATTAATTAATAAATTGAAATTATTAATATTACACAATAAAATTAATATTAATTTTTATCATTTTTAGTATAAATTCATATAAAAAATATATTAATTATACTTTTAAAATACAAATTAAAAAAAAAAAAACTTTTTGTATAATTATATCAATTTCATCAAACACACAATTCTATTAGTTAAATTGGGGAAATCCATGGCATCACGGTGTAAGCTGCAACATGAGCAACACAACACGTAGCTTGAAACAGAAAATTCTTGCTTCTTTGTCTTCCCTTCTTCTTCTTTTTCTTTTTCTTTTTATTTTTTTTAAACTGAGTTACAAGGATAAGAGGATTGGATTGGGGGTTGGGAGGATGGGATTGAGCGAATGCACCTTAAAAGTCACTCTATAACTATTGGGCCGTGAGCCCAAGTGCCTTTTGTCTCTCTAACTTAATTAACAACAAATAATGAAAGTATAAAATAATTTAATTAAAAAAAATTTAAATATCAAAATTATTCATGCCACATTTTGCTTACATGGCAATTTATACAGTGCTACGTGAACCATGAAATGGATTTCTATCAACTTTTACTTATAGAATTGTAGTATTAAGTAGATGAAGTTAATATATATTTTAAAAAGTAAATTAATAACTTTAAAAAATTAAGATACTAGATTAAAATAAAAGAATATACATAATTAATAAATAATTTATTAAATTAGGCTTTTGAAAGAAATAGCAAATAGTGATGTAAAACTAAAATAGTATAAGGCTTTTTATTTTGTAATAACAGGAGAAGTATTATATGCCCTTGAAATTTTATTAATCCCTCCTTTATTAGAAAAAAGAAAGTTTTTTTTTTTTAAAAAATAATATCACTTGAGTGAATCACAAATCGAGTACAGCTAGCATGTTGCTCATAAAAATGATATAGATGGCGAAGGATTTTAGATTTCATCAATAGTCTTTTTCCATAGGCTAACAGCTGTGTTGGTTTTTTTTTTTTTTTTTTTTGTTTATGAAAAAGAAAATCAGCTGCAGCTGTTAAGAAAAAAAAAACTTTTGTTTAAATTTTTTTTTATATATATTTGTCACCTTCAAAGCTCTTGTCA